TTTTTCCAAAACACCTTTTTGGGCATCAACTCTCAATTTTTAATGCCACAAGTCAACCTGATCAACTTGAATGACTAAACTGTAGACCCACAACTTAGAGGAAAAAACTAAGTCATCCATTCAGTTTGTTTTTAAAACAATATTGGGTCCTATTTTTAATCATATAAAGTGAGAATCATTTCACTACAAACAATAAGCTCTTTAGCGACCTTAGCGACCTAATCAAGCTAAAAAATAACCCTTTAGCGAATTTAAATAAACATTTCTGAATGTATAGCAAATGTCACATCAAACTTTTTGCAATGTTTGTACACTATCACACCTTGCATGTCTCATGAACTTTTCGTGATGTTTATTTATTAGTAAAATGTCACCAATGAAAGTAAAAAGCCATCTTCTAATAAAATTTGGTATAGATGACCAAGCTTTGGGGGATGAACAAGACAAGGCATATTTTGCTAATTTCCGAGTTGCCTTATTACAAGATATGGAAATTCATTATTTAGTTAAGATAAACTTTATTTACAATTAATCATTTGGTACATATTTCAACAATAAAAATAATTTACAACAATACAAAAGAAATCGTCAAGGGATGTGGGCCTGTGGGCCTTCCCCTTTTCATTTCCCTTTCCCTTCCCTTCCCATCCCCTTCTCCCTCCCTCTTGTAGGCACTTCAAATGATGCTATTTCAAGCCATTGTCTCTCCTACAAAAGGGGAAACAATGAAAATGCAATGTTATTTTCTTTCTAAAAGATGCAAATATATAAAAATAAAGTTAGAGTTAAGTTAATCCACAGTTGAGACCAGTGTTGATACATCTTTGGGAGTAGGATTTGCATAATCTATAGGTTGAATTGGAGTGGGAGGGACCCAAGCTCTACACATAAAAGGCAAAGTAATGGAAAAATATTCAATATATTTGATATAGACATACTAGAAAATTAGAGAATGAAGAGAGAATATTCAGGTGATTTAGGATTTTAATTGGTGGAGGCATGGGCTAAATTGTCTCTAGTAGGTCTAAGTACGTTGGGTTAGTTTTGATCGAGTTCTTTTAGGTGGTAGAGGTTTAAGTTGGAGTGAACTCTAGTGGGTGAATTGAGTAAATTGAGTTGGGTTGGTTTTAGTTGATCTAAGATTGAACTTGCAAAACTTAGCTTTGGCACTTTTAGGCTTTGGTGAATGGGTTTGACTAAACTAGTTGGAATGGGTTCTAGGGATCTCTTTCATCACTCTTCTCAAAATTCCAATGAATCAAGCTATATATGGAATTCCCTCCAAGATCCTCCATTAAAAAAGGGGTGATTATTTTATCCCAACTAAGAAATTCTAGACTTGGAGCTAGCTTTGGTTTTCAGGGCCGGGTTGGGCATGGGCTTGGATTAGGCCCACAAATTTCTCGGTAGGGCTTTGGTCAAATACTTTATGCCTGATCCAACCAACATACATATTTATATATGTTATTTTGTGTTATATTTTATATATAAATATGTAACATAACACCTATAACACATATTATATATAATATTCTATATTATATAATGTACAAAATGAAATCTATACACATATTGTATTATATATAATATAAAATATACATATTTAATATTTTAACATAAAAGTCATAGGTCGGTATGGTCCTAGGCTTATTTTTAGGCCCAAAACCCAAGCCAAACTAGGCCTAGGGTTGGGGGTATAGACCTTATCATAACTTCTAAGCCTGGCTTAGCCCAAAGATGGAGAGATAGTTGATTACTTCCCTAGAGATATGGAGATATTGATAGAATTAGGAAACTAGGGGTGCGACTTGGGCTAGGTTAGCTTGAACAACATTAACCCAACCCGAAAAACTAGGGTTAGGGTTGAAAAGTATGAGCATGACTTAACTTTGGGTTGGCTTAGGGTTGAGGCCTTGACCAACGTAATTTAACTTTATATTTACATGTATAAATATTATATAAATATGTATTTATGCATGTAAGTACTTATGCATATATATATATGCATGTACTAGTCATTAGTGGTGTAGCTGGTTCCACTATAGTCATTCAATAATTTATATCAAAAATATTTTCATACATTAAATGATTTGACTAAAGTAACAAAAATAATTTAAAGTCTTGAGAATAAAAATATAAGGAAAAAGGATTAATACATTAATCACATTACTTCAAAAAAAAAAAAAATAAATGCCATTTTACAATTATCCTCGACAATTATATATCTTAAAACAAATAATCTAGATATAAGTACAAAAGAAACCAATAAAAACATAATTCAATCATATAGAATGATTAAGTGAACTACACAATTGTAAGTAAGAAAGTTAGAGAACTTATACTTTACCTTTCTCAATTTTATACTTGTGATGCTTGTAGTTAAATTAAGGTGGTAAGTGAGCAGTTCTTGATTTTAACTTTATAAAGAGTCTTGCATAAAATGAAAAAAGAAAGTTACATTAGAAAATTATATGCATAAAACATATGAGATGGCTGCAATTGGAATGGTAACTTTCTTTTGAAGCTTTTTCTTATGTTTTTTTTTTTGTTTTTTTTTTATCTAAGTTTAAAAACCAAGGATTTAAATATCTATACGATAAGTTCGATATGTGGTGTACTGTATTGGCATCGGTTAGAGGGGATATGGGAATTGACTAGGCCCACATCCCTTGAGTCGTGTGTATTGGAGCAATACACACCTGTATCTACTTGTATCATGTTGTATTGGTTGAGACACACTGATACACGATAATGCTGACCGATGTAGACACGTGATTCACATTTCACTTGCATGTCTATATTTAAAAATTGCAACTGGCGTGATTTAAATCCAAATTGCCTAGTGCTTAAGCTTTAAATGAAACTATTAACTTAATATTCTTTTTCTTATGATAATAAATGTAATAAAATAACTTTTACCAATTCTAGTGTTCACGTGTAACCCTGAAAAATAACATATATTTATGTTCAACAATTCCAATTAAAGATATAAAATAATATTAAAAATTAATATTTTGTAAACTAATGGAATAAATAATTTGTCAAATCCACATTTATATCAAAAAGTTGTTTTTAATCTCAAAAAGTATAAATAAAAAATATTAATAATGGAATAATGATTTTAGTACTTAAAATTTATAAATTTGAACATGATATGCATCTTAAGTTTTTTTATAAATTATTAATTAATAGTTTAATTTTCATTAAAGAAAAACATATTTATTGTTTATTAAAATAAAATTATTATTTATAAAATACACAAGAATATAATATAATTTGAATTTGTCAAATCCACTAATATAATTTTATATCAWAAAATTTATCAAAATAAAATATTAATAATGAAATAATTATTTTAGTAATTAAAAATTATGAATTTGCATATGAAATGTATCTTAAAATTTTTAATATATTTGATATATTTTAGGCTAAGATTTTATATTTTTATAAGTTACTAATTGATATTTTAATTACATTTTATAATAACATTTTTATTGTTTAGAAAAATAAAAATATTGTTTACCAAACATTTGAGAATAAGTTTTTAGTTGATTTTTTTGTTAATGATAAAATTAAAAATAGTAAAATAGAAAATAATTGGTATAATAATTCATATAAAATAGTGACATATATTTTGTGCCTTGAATATATTTTGTGCCTATATTTTTATAAGTTACTAAAACTCTTGATTGGATACATTATCAATAAAGTTGTATGATTTCTATGCATCCCGCTATATTAGTTGTAATATATTTTTCACATATACCATTAGAATATACATTTCCTATGCATTAATACATTAATTTTGGTTATTTTGACTTTAAATATGATGTTATTAATATATTCATGGAATTTATATTCATTTCTTAGTATGTCCAAGCATCTCTATATTTTTTATCTGCATCCATGCATCTCCAAAGTGTATATATATATATATCCGTGTCCGTATCCATATCTAAATGGCCTAATATGATACCCAATACTGAATACTTTAATCCTTGGTTAAAACACAAGAGATTTTTTTTTTATTTTGTGCTTTTTATCCAATGATTAAATCCTGTGTTTATTGTCTCTTGATACCGGATACTTTAATCCCTTGTTTATTGTCTATATCCATATTCGTATCTAAGTTGTTTAATATGATACCCAATACTGAATACTTTTTAATATTTAAGTTACTAAATTGACCCTAATCCCTTAAATTTTCTTTCAATTTCATTGGAGTGTAGGTCAATATGGAAAAATGACCCAAAATAACACCTATATTTAGTATTTCTTTTTCAACTTGAGTGGGGTCAATTTATGAATTTATAGTCAATTTAAGAGTAATTAAATTAATAAAAGATAATTAAAATAGATGCAAATTTATTAACAATAACCAACGAAAATAAGAATAAATATAAAAATTATTGATACACTTTAGTACAAAATATAGAAATAAAAATTAAAAAAAATCGATATTATTAATAAATTAACAAAAGTTAAAAAATAATAAAAATTAATAATCATTAATAAAATAGTAAAAAGTAATAATACTACTACTACTAATAATAATAATTTGTTAGTTTAAAACTATTTTCTTTTAATTTAAAACTCCAATAAAAATAAAAAAATAAAAAAATAAGAAATAGAACATAAGATATTGGTCACTGCCACTAAAGTAGTACAACTTAGATTGTGAAAGAATGTCATAGGAGTCATTTTTGCTTCAATTTTGCCTGAGCCCAGGTCATGACTAGTACAATCTTTTTTCAAAAATAAATAAATAAAAATAGAGAATCTTTTATGTGAAGGTGTTGATTTAGACGGTCGCATGCTGGAAAGTTATAAATAGTAGCAAGAGAGAACGGAAGAAATCTGCAAAAATGGAAAACGGACCATCACCTTCCTCCTTTATTTTCTTCTTGATCTGTCTTTGCACTTTTCCGATCTTTGTGTCTGCCAATGACCCACGTCCTCCGGCTCAGCTCCGTTTCCGCAGAAATGGAGAGTTTAAGATCCTGCAGGTTGCAGACATGCATTACGCCAATGGAAATAAAACACGTTGTCAGGACGTGTTGCCGGAGCAGATGACGTCGTGCTCTGACCTCAACACCACGGCCTTCCTTGAGCGCCTGATCCATCTCGAGAGTCCCGATCTCATCGTCTTCAATGGCAGTATTCTCTTCCTCTTCTCATTTTCTTTTTTCCCTCTAGCTAGTTTGCGAAACCCAGGCCAACAGATGAACTAGCCTTGTAAAATCGATTCGTTCTCAAATTAATTTGACATCTTTCCATTGGGTTTGGGTTGTGGAGCAGGAGATAACATCTTGGATTACGCGGGGAATGCAATAGCATCCATGGATGCAGCGTTTGGCCCAGCTGTGTCGTCGAGGATCCCATGGGCTGCCGTCCTAGGCACCCACGACCGTCCATCGACACTGTCAAGTGAAGAAGTGATGAAACACATCGTTACCATGAACGGCAGCTTGTCTCAGCTCAACCCTCCAGGATACACCATCGATGGATTTGGGAACTACAACCTGGAGGTAGGTGGGGTTGAGGGCTCCAGTCTCCACAACAAGTCAGTTCTCAATCTATACTTTCTTGACAGCGGAGGCACCAGTGACGTTCTCTCCATTCCTGGCTTTGGTTGGATCAAGCTCTCACAGCAGCTTTGGTTCAAAAGAATTTCCAACGAGCTCGAGGTATTAATGTATTTTAATTTGCGTCAGAAATTAATTTAATTTTATTCAATTCCTTGTGATTTTGTTGAATTTAACGTTTTCTTTTACCCTATTTCATTCCCATGCAGAAAGCATTCATGGAGGAACCAGAGCCACAGAAAAGGTCGGCACCAGGACTTATGTACTTCCACATCCCATTGCCTGAATATGCGATGGTAAACTCATCAAACATAGTGGGTGTCAAGCAAGAGAATGTTAACTCAGCTTCTGTGAACTCGGGCTTCTTCACAACCATGGAAGAAAGAGGAGATGTGAAGGCAGTGTTCACAGGCCATGACCACATCAATGATTTCTGTGGAAATCTAATGGGTATTCATCTGTGTTATGGTGGAGGATTTGGGTACAATGGCTATGGGAAGGAAGGGTGGGCGAGGAGGGCAAGGGTGGTGCTGGCCACCCTGGAGCAGACAGACGAGGGGGAGGGGGGTTGGGGAGCGGTGAGTTCTATCAAAACGTGGAAGCGCCTTGACGACACTGACCTGTCTCTCATTGATTCCCAGGTCCTGTGGAGCAAGGATCCCGGATCTACTACCAACAACACGCTACACAGAAGATACTACGGCCACATAACCACAACAATATCGGCAACATCTCCCTTATGTTGTCTTTCATGGAACATGTTTCCAATGTGCGGCTGTATTTTCTTGTGGGTAGCTTTTGTTGGTATGGATAGCATATGTGGATTCTAGAGCTTGAGTTTCACTTGAAAGAGTTGAGGAATACAAGGGGTGTCAACGGATCGTGTTTAGCTAGCATGGGTTTCGCCTCAATCCTAATCCCACTCTCCAATGTCTCCACCCAAAAACCTCATCCAATTTCCAAACCCGACCTGACCCTATAGGGTTTAACGCAATACTGATCCAACATTATCCTTAGTTTTTCAATTGTATTTTTGATATCACATTTTGAAACCATACAAGTCGTTAATTTAAGTTGAAATTTGTTTTATAGGTTTAATTAAGGTGTGCTATTTTTTCATTAGAAAAAGAAGAAAAACCATAATCAACATGAAAAGAAATTCTAAGCTTTAAGATGGATCAAGCCAGGGTGAATCGGCCAATTAAACCTAAACCCAATTCAAGTCATGGGGGTCAAGTTGGAGGTCATCCTGATTGCCTTTTTGTTGAGGCTGAAGCAGCGGTATTTGTTGAGAGTCTGAGACTGGCAATTGATTTGAATCTGAGGAGAGTAACTATAGAAGCAGATTTGCTAATTCTGGTGCAATCCCTTTTAAATTAAGAACCCGGCTTCTTCTCATTGGCGTATTCAATCTCTAATCACCAACTGCAGGGAACTCCCTTTTTTTGAATTTGATTCTATTTCAGTTCTGCATGTGAACGAGGGTGCTGATTTCTCATTCTTTGAGTTGTGGTATGCCACGGTCTGAAGATTCCCTTCCTTGCATTGCTTCAGCCATCTTGGAGGAGTGTATTTGATTTGTTATCCCTATTCTCTTTTGATTGAATGAAATTAGTCTAAAGGTTCTTTCCAAAAGACAAAAAAAAAAAAAAAAAAGCTTGAGATTCATATTCCAAACTAAGGAGTATTGAAAGTTGAGTTCCATTACACTATATAAGTCTACATAATAGGGAAATAACACCAAATTGAGTTCTATTACACTATATAAGTCCACATAATAGAGAAATAACATCAAGGCACCTAAATCATCATCATCATCATTTTCTTCTTCTAATTAAGCCATTCTACTTTGTCATTCTACTTTGTTTAATGTCATATTTATTGTTAAGTTATGAGTGCTTAAATCATTTCTTATTATTTCAGTACATGCTCTTTTTGGTCTGTATATCCTCTAGCAATTCTAGCCTCTTTGACAACAAATTGTTTATTCTTATAAATGCTTCCATGCACATGAACAAACCATCTTATTCTATTTTTTTTATCGTCATTAATTGCAACTATTCCTAAGTTTTATGGAATAATTTCATCTCTGACCTTATCCTTTCTACTTCTTCCACTCATCCATTCCAGCATGTGCATTTTTTCCACTTTCACTTTTTTTTTTGACCAAAACACCTAATATGACATCAAAATACCTAATCATGATTCCAAATCACTCAATTATCACACTAGGAAATGAAAACTACATATAAAACCGGATATAAACTCACCTATAACTGAATGTATAGACACTAAGGCTGTGTTTGGTTTGAAGGAAAAAGTAGGGAAAGGAAGAGAAAGGCAAGGAAACCTATAGAAGGTTTGTAAAGATTTCCCTACATCTCCCTTCTTTTCCCTACCTTTTCCTTCAAACAAACATAGCCTAAGGTGATGCTTGCTTTATGGTAACTTTGAAAAAAATAAAACTTGATAGGTTTCTTTTACTTAGCCTAATTTTGTTAGGTTTACTTATCAAAGGTATTCATAGATTGAAAACCAAAGGTTCATCTTTACTAAGTCGCTCACCCTATCTCCCATAGGAGGCTGATTGATAAAAGAGCCTAAGGCCCTATTCGCATTTCGATAAGTTATTTACCTAGGTAAATGCACTTACCCAAGTAATTGTTTCCTAGGAAAGATTTACCCGGGTAAGTACATTTACCCATGTTCTTTTATTTTCCATGTAAATAAGGCAATGACCATTTTATCCATAAAAATCCATTATTACAAGGGGCATTTTTATCCCTTTCAAGTGTTGGCAACTTTCCCCCAAGGTGGGAAAGTTATTTACCCACCTAGGAGATGAGTATCACTGACTCGGATAAGTGATATCCAGGAAAATAAACTTTCCCTGGTCCCACATAAATCTGAAAATAGAATATGGGATTTTTGGTCAATGGGAATCAAAATCCCATTGACCAACTTTCCCCCTCTCAAAATCCAGAAAAAGAATGCCTCTTAAAAGAAATTCTTGATATTTTAGGGTTCAATTACATCCAATAAAGTCTTTTCAGTAATTATTATGATTTACGTGCTAAGTATGATTCAATAACAGGTAGGAGGTGGATATATACCAAAAACAAAAATTAACAGTAAAAAAAAAGTGAATAGGTGATCTCACGCCACCAAGGGTTGAAATTATGGGTATAAGGGATGGGCTACACAATAGTCCAGAGAATGACCGTTCAGCCCACCTCAGAATTCTTAGCCTCACTGTACAAGTGGGATGAATCCTGATCGTGGATTGATGCCAAATCCACAGGCAAGATGCAGTTTATAGGGGAGGCTACTAGTAGATTATGGGGGCTGTAATTTTAGAATTCTGCGGTGAGATGCAATGTAATTCTCTATAAAAAAAAATTCGCTTTCCCTCATCAAATTTCAAAGGATAATTTTGTAATTTTATTTTCACTATTAATTACATGGAATAATGAAATAGGGGCAAAAGAAATTGTCTAAAACTCACAATAAGTTTTCAGCATTTCTCTTAAATTCACCACGACTTTTCAAAATGTCTAAATGTCACCATGTCACTAACTTCATGTTAAACAGACTAATGGGTGTTAATAGATTACCATTTTAACCTTCACAGAAAAATATAAAATATATAAAAAATAAATTAATGGGTGTTAATATATTACCATTTTAATATTTAGACATGAAAAAAGGAAAAAGTTCAAAAAAATATTTTCAAATATAAAATGCATAAAAACAAAGAAATTACAAAAAATATAAAAAACTATAGAGATTGCAAAAAAAAATAATAATAATTTTCAAATTATAGAAACTATAGAAACTGAAAAACAAAATCAGAAAATAAAAATTGTCGAAAAGACACCAAAAATTTTAGAAAAACACAGAAATTGCAAATAAATAAAAAAATATAGGAAAATTTATAGATTGTAGAAATAGAAAAATGTAAAAAAACAGAAATTATAAAAAACATTGGAAATTATAACAAAACACTAAAAAAGAAAAAAAAAACAAGAAAATTGAAAACTGAAAAGATCAATTTTCCTTTAACTCACCATTCAAGGGTAATTTGGTCATAAAAAATATTATTTATGCTAACATGGACACCTCTGTTAAGAAGCATTAACGGTGCACTAACGGAATGTGGGTTTTGGAAGATAAAAACTTTCTGACATGGTGAGTTTTAGACATTATGAAAAAGTTGTGGAAAGTTTAAGAAATATTGAAAACTCATGATGAATTTTAGACAAATTCCCTACTAAAATCCATGGGGGAGTTGTTGAAAACAAAATTATAGGAATAATTATCACCATCCCTTTAATGCAGGGCGGCAGCCTTTTAATTTACCCCAAAAATCAGCTTTTTGTTGTTTCCAATATTATCTAACGATGACTTTAATACTTTATATTGTATTTCTACATTATAGAACACGTGGGAACATATTCAAGCTAAGTGATTTTAGCAAGCATCCAATTACTTGGGTATCCAACATACCCTATTCTAATTAATTAGTAGGGTTCCGTTTAGGTCCAAAAACAATTGGGCCAAATACTATATGTCCAAGTTAGGCCGAGGCCCAATAATATAAGACTTAGTAAAAATCAGGCCCAATGTTTGCTTATATTTAATGTGCAGGTGGTAAATGTATGAAAAATCTTCACTCTCTCTCTCACACATATCTATCTAAATCTGTTCTTTTTTTTCACATTGATAGATGCCTTGGTGAATGGGATTACATCATTAGTGAAGATCTTGTGGAGAAGATTTCAGCCCTGTTATATCCAAAATGCCCATCCAGATGAGGAAAGTGGATGTAGTAGGGTCTAAAAAGGGGGGTTCGAATCTGCTACCATCGACATCGTAGCGATCGGCATAGCTTCCAACAGGATTTATATTTTTACATCTCAAACATGTTTCATATTTGTATATTGTTATTGATGGGGTTATATTTTTTGATATAGCAATCATCTATAGCTATATTGCTATTAATTAAAAGTGTGAATGAGGTTTAGATTCTGAAAATTTTTAACTAAAATATTTTTACTCTTTGAACTTGGTCTCCCTATATTTATGAGGGCAAAAAACATAATTTGAAATACTACTTTTATTAAATTCATTATATTCCTCATCATTAAGTCCTATATTTAAATTATTAAGTCTCATTTTCTTTTACTAAATCTTATATTTAAGGCACATTAAATAAATGGGCTTTGAGGACTTTTCTTGATTTAAACACCCCTATTTATGAATTTAATCCCTTTTTAACTATGTAGGCAAAAAAAATGTAATTTAAAGTACTATTGCATCCCACTTCATTAAATTTCCTCTCATTAAGGTATTAACTCTAATTCTTTCTCATTTGATACTTTATTTGAAGTTTTTTTGTTTCTCACCAACAAATTCTACAAAGTAAGTCTATATCTAATATTTTTAGTAATATAAAAACTATGTTCAAAACTAACATGAAAAATAATTAAATAAACCACCCTTTTGTTTGAGTGGCAAGTAGATAGTCAACCATCAGCATCAAATGGATCAACCAATGCTCTCATGGTTATAATCAATATATATATATATATATATATATATATATGAAATGGTTATTTGTGGACACCTTCATCATGAATTAAATGGAATCCACATGAGTGGACTAACTTATGAGCATGAGAAGTCCAAGCTGCAAATACGTGTGCTTGCCCTTCCAGGTTTCTATCCCCTTTTCACAAAATCCAATTTGTTGCTTCCCCTTTCTCTTGCCCCCTCTCTCTCCTCCTATCTTTTGGGTTCTCTCTCTCTATTCTCCTGTGTCTATGGTGAA